AGACAGGAACATGCCCTATTAAAGTCACATGAAGTCACTCCTCCTGGAAAGATCTGGAAGCAGCTGCTGCATTCCAGCCCATGTTATCTGATGTGTTTGAAGACTAGAGCTGGAACCTCACTGTGAAACATCTGCGATCCTCATGCTGAGATGAGATTTCAGACTGAATTAAAAAGCTATACCAAGGCCCTGGCCGGGTAGCTCGGTTGGTTAGAGCATCAGCCCTAGATGCCAAGGTTCGATCCCTGGTAAGGGCACATACAAGAATGTATCCCAGGGCATGTACAAGAATCAACCAATGAATGCGTAAATAAGTGAAACAACAAATTGATGTTTCTCTCCCTCCCTCCCCCCCTTCCTTCCCCTCTCTCTCTCTAAACACACACACGCGCGCGCACACACACACACACACACACACACACACTCTATGCGAACACTGACACCAAAGAACAAGTCCCTCCAACTGTAAGAGGCCCCACAGCCCTGTCTCTGCAGGGTTTCACCAGGTTAAACCACCGCAGTGAAGCTGGTCTGCAGCAGCTGGGCCCAGGGGAGGGGTCAGCCCAGGGCTGTCCACACAGAGCGGCCACCTAGCTGAGTGTGGAGGCACGGGTATATTCCCATGTCTGTAAAACAGCATGCAAGTATATTCAAGGAAAAACAGTTTAGACTGGTGGGGAGACCAGGGACCCCCCTTTTTCTCTACTATGCGTTGGGCTTTTTAAAAAAGAGCAGAAAAGAACCAATTACATTTAAAACAACATCATTAGGGGGTACCCCCCCATGTATACACATACATTTTTTGATGGCTCAATGATGTTTCTTTTTGTATTTAACCCATTGGAATGAATAATTATTCAACGTGTGTACACATTTTTGGGGGGACACCCTGTAGTTGTAATATCTAGGTAAGTGACATAAAAAAACAAAACAAAACAAAAAGCACAAAGAAACTGAAGGCAAAGCCGGGCCCAGCCCAGGAAACTCTAAGGAATGACTCTGCTCTTCCTCCCCCACCCTCACCGCCCAGCAGCCCGGGGCGTGAACAGCATTCCTGGGAGCCGGCACCTGAGCCTCCAAGCCCCCCCTCGCGCACAGAGCACGTCTCCGAGCCCCGCCTTCCAGCGCACAGGCCTGCACGAGAAGAGGGGGTGCGGGGCCCCCAAAGACCAAGAGT